TTAAGTTCCTCTTTCATTTGAGAAAAATGCAAAGTCCTAAGGTTAACTAGGAACATGAGGCTAACTGCAAACAGTGAGAGTTCAGAAATTCAACAAACAAGGGATTTTGCAAAATGGATTTTGGACTTAGGAGAAGGAAAAGTTGGAGGCGATAATATAGCGAAGCAGTTATTGAGATACCTCATGATCTTCTCATTACTGATTGCATCGATCCTATATTTGCATTAATCGAATTTTTCTATCCCTCAATTCTTGAAAACATCAACAACTCAGCTTATTTTCAAGAACGAGCAATACTTGCACCAAAAAATGAAGTAGTTCAAGAAATAAATGATTGTTTGCTGTCATTATTTCCAGGAGAAGAAAAGGAGTACTTAGGTTCAGATACGTTATGTGAATCAGAGCACCTTCATGATGAGTTTGATAAAACTTTGTACTCTCCTGATGTTTTAAATGGTGTTAAATTATCAGGAATACCAAACCATAAGATTTTACTAAAAGTTGGTGTTCCTATCATGTTACTGAGGAATATTGATCAGAAATCTGGATTGTGTAATGGTACTAGACTGCGGGTGTTAACATTGGAAAATCGAGTAATAGAAGCATAGGTTATATCTTGAAGCAATATTGGAAGCCGTACATTCATTCCAAGAATGTCCTTAACACCTACAGACAAAATGATACCATTCAAATTTCAAAGGAGACAGTTTCCAATTGTTGTATGTTTTGTCATGACCATTAATAAGAGCCAAGGACAATTATTATCAAAAGTTGGTTTATTTCTAAGACAACCGGCCTTCGCACATGGTTAGTTTTATGTTGTTTTATCCAGAGTCAAAAACAAGCAAGGTTTGAAAGTACTAATTATGGATGATGATGGTATTATTGACAGTAAAACAATGAATGTTGTATACAAAGAAGTGTTTAGTAATATATGATACATGGTTCTTATTTTATTAATGTTTTACATATTTAACTTATATTTGTTCAGTTTATAGTGTTATAGATATTGTTTTACAACTTCATCTTATTAACTCATATTATTATTAATTCTTAAGAGGCTTATTTTTCATTTATGTTTCGCATTATAATTATCCGACCATAGAGGATCTGCATGTGCTACGCAAATTCTCTCACCCGGACACCGTGCTTCATACAGAGCTTTAGAGAGGGACTGCATGTACTATGTAGAGTCTCTGACCAAACTTCCGTAATTCATACAGAGCTTTAGAGAGGTACTGTAGAAACCACACAACACCTCTATGCATGATTATGTGCTTCATGCAGAGCTACACAACAGCTCTGCATCTACAATGTAGAGCCTCTATTTACGGAAAATTTATACAAACATGTAGCGTTGGCTAATTTTAACAATTAACTCTTGAAAAGAGCTTCACACTTGTAACCAGATTGGTCTTCTTGATTTAGAAGTCTTGCAACGCTGAATATTGTCTGTCATGAACTCTGGAGGATTTCTTAGACCTTGTGTTTGTCAAGCCTGATTCCGTCCTTCATACAGAGCTTAATAGAGGTTATGCACGTGCTTTGCGGTCAATCTGAACCAGACTACGTCTTTCATGCAGAGCTGCACAGAGGTTCTATATTTAAGTCTTGAGAAAGAGATATGTCTCTTCACGTAATGTGTCGATGCTCTGTCTCTTACTCTGAAGATGGTCTTCAGACTTGTAACTGTAAATAGTTTGTGTCTTAATCTTTAGAAACTTTTTTACGCTTGTGTCCTTGAAGCCTGCCTCCGTCCTCCATACGGATTTTCATAGAGTCTCTGTACTTGTCTTGAGTAAGAGTTCTCTCTCTACATGTACTACCCAGAACCTCTGATTCTCTTTGCTTGTCTCAGACAGAGGTATACAAAGGCTCTACATGTACTAAGCAGCGCTGCATACTGGATCTACATTGTTCGTCTTCATTTAGAAGTTTTTCTGATCATCGAAGCACAGGCCGTCCTTTGTATATGTAACATTTAATTCTCGAATAAAAACATCTTCATATAAAAAAGTTAATCGGACTTGTACCTTTGTCTAAGTTTATAAATTACCTCCGATTATTAATTCTTTATAAAATACATATCAGTTTTGCTTAATTTTTGTCATTAACCCGTGTAATACACGGGTCCGAACCTAGTTTTATATATATATATATATATATAGAGAGAGAGAGAGAGAGAGAGAGGAGTGATCATATGAAAACCGCCTTCATTTGTGTAAACCGTGCAAACCACCTTCATCTGTCGATTTCATTGTTTAATCTTATGAAATTTTTTCATGAAATTGTTTAATCTTGTGAAATTGTTTCATATAATACTTTTTTTGATGAAG